GAGTTTCCTAATTTTGTGTTATATTACTAACCTTTTTAGTATGCTACCAAAATTATTAGTTAATATTATATTATATGTAAATTTTATTTTTTTTTTGGTCACAATGGAAAATTTTATTTTGTCTTAGTTGTAAACACAATTATATGTTACTAACTTCTATTTTAATAGTCCTCATAGCAAAAACCGATGTCTCAGCTGGCGAAGAGCTTCCGTTAACATCATTAACAATGATATAATGTGGGTATCATTAAATATAAAATTAGTAAAATTTGAGTAAAAGGAAGAAAGAGAGTGTTTTTTGTTGAAATAATGGGATGTATTGAAATATAAAATTAATAAAATTTGAGTAAAGAGAAGAGATAGTGGGTATTTTTTGAGAGAGAGTATCAAAAGTATCAAATAGTTGATACTTTTGAAGAGAGAAAAAGTGTGTTTTTAATAATTTTATATTTAAAAGAGTATAAAATTAATAAAAGTTGAATAAAAAAATGAAAGAGAAGGTATAAAGTTAAGTAAAAAGAAGAGAGTGTATTTTTAATAATTTTATATTTAATGATACCCACATTGTATCATGGATAATGATGGCCTAACACTTATATTTACGGCTTCCTCTTCCCGTAGAATAATATATTTCTTCAAATTAATAACCTTTGATCATGAAAACCTATTTCTGCAGGTATGATTATCTCTTTGAGATTGATGAATCTGAAGATATCAAAGTGCCTTGCCTTTGTAGAGCTCCTAACTGCCGCAAGTTCATGAACTGATAAGAGCTCTCTAAAGTCGAAACCATTCTTGCAGCGGATCAAACCGTCTAAAGATTTGAACGGTAGCGGCGGTTGCTGGTTCATGCTGACTGACTTCTTTCCGATCGATTACATTTCCCGGCGTGGCAATTTTGAAAATGTGTAGGATTTTTTACCCACTCTAAGAAAATAACCTCATAGGCAACAAAAGAATACTTCACATTTGATTTGATTTGATTGATCCTAAAGGTCTACAGTGTTCGAGTGTGTTGATAGCTTTTAATTTCTCAAGGAATATTGTTTCTAATTTTTCTATAAATTATGTCAGATCTGATTAATCATAGAAAATCACACTGGGTATTTCAAATGTAGCTCTGGTTATACCTTTTATCATCGGTATGTATTTCAGATGGCGAAAAACAATATAGGTTGGAGGATACTCTCGGTCTATTGATGCTAAACCGGGTTGAAGCTCGAACGGAATATAAATTGTAATTTGACTATTCAGATCTGAGAGATGTGGGCCCAGAAAGTTTGTTACAGGGATAAATACGTCATTTGAAATTCAAAATTTTCGAATTCGCTGTCTCTCCTTCGTGGGTATATAACGACTACGACACGATTCAGACCTATAACAAAATTCGAATCAATTTTCTTCTTAACAAATT